TATTATGTTATGTGTATCAAGAGTATGAATGTGTTTGCATTTATCCATCCATCCATCCTCCTCCTCCTTCTCCTCTGCTTGTCTGGGGTTAGGTCGTAGGAGTAGCAGCCTAAGTAAGGAAGTCCAGACTTCGCTCTCCACAGCCGCTTGTTCCAGTTCCTCCTGGGGAATCTCAAGGCGTTTCCAAGCCACCTTGGAAAACATAGCCCTTCCAGCCTGTCCTGGGTCTTCCCCTCTGCCCAGAACACCTCACCAGGGAGGTGTCCAAGAAGCATCCTAACCAGATGCTTGAGTCACCTCAACTGGCTCCTCTTGACGTGAAGGAGCAGCGGCTCTACTCTGAGTCCCTCCTGCATGACCAAACTTCTGACCCTATCTCAAAGGGAGAGCCCTACAGGGAAAACTAATTTCGGCCGCTTGCATCTGTGATCTCATTCTTTCGGACATGACCCAAAGCTCATGACCATAGATGAAGGTAGAAACATGGATCGACAGGTAAATCAAGAGCTTTGCTTTTTGTCTCTTCACCACGACAGACTGGTACAGCGGCCGTTTCACTGCCCCATTTCTCTCATTCGTTAACAAGATTCTGAGATACTTGAACTCCTCCACTTGGGGCAGGACATCCTCTCCAACCCAGAAAAGACACGCTATTGTTTTGCAGCTCATTTATTTATGAATTTATTTATATAGCTATGAATTTTTTTTATTTATTTATTGAGATGATAAAAGAAAGAACCTTGAACACAATGATCAACAGGTTTTGCATGTCATTCAACACATTTTCTCTCTCTTACTTTTCTCATCCAGAGTGCCAGACGCACACAAAAATAGTCCATGCAGAAATGTTAGCTAGCTTGGTTAGATAACTAATGTTGGTTAACTTTGAAGAAGGCTAATTAATATGTTCTTTCGTGATAATAACTCTATGAAGGTACTCATGATTGACACACACACACATTTGTGAGGTAAAAAATAAATAAATACTTACATGTAAGAGTTCTTGCTGTGTAACATATTAATACTCAGGAGTGACACTTAGGACTCAGTGTGCATGGTTCACAAAAAAATGTGTTCCAGAGAGTCAGAGTTGGTAACAAACAAAGATTCCCATTAAATTCCATAGGAAATGAATACGGGCCATTTTTGACCCACTCACAGAAGAAAGGGGTAGTAAAATAAAACATGCTATTTCTTAAAATATGTAAAAGGTAAACCAAAAGTTTGAATTGCATGATATCAGTAACATATTTTTTGAGGAATACCTTGAAAGTGATGAAAACTTTCCATTACAAAGACATTGCAAAAAGATGACCTCATCAGGTCAGAAAGGACCCACTTACGCATCAGAAGGTTAAAGTTAAAATGTGAATATCCACATCAGACACGTGGATGCCTTAAGCATTATCTGCTGTGCTCTTTCAGCATGGGGAATAACAGTTTAATCTGAATCACTGCTGTTTCACTTTCTTGGAGCTGAACCAGTGTTTTGTGGGAATTAATGTTCAATGCTGTCCAGCCTCTCCGGGGGAAGCAGGTGTGATTCCAAAATGAGAGAAAATGGTCTCACCACATATGGCGGCATCATGTCATGACAGGTGGGCATGCGCTGGGGTCACCTGTATCCAGACTGAGAGTGGGGAGTTGTTCCCTGACCATCTGGGCTCAGGCCTGTCCCTTTTGGACAGTGAAAATCAGAGCCCAGCTCTTAACTTTACTTATTATATGCCACTGATTTGTGATTAATATAGCAATTCTTAAAAAAAATAAATAAGACAATAAATCAAGGCATAATTTGAATTTTAAAATTCAAACTCAGTAGCAATAGAATGATCTAATCTAGTCAGAGTAAGAGCAGTGGAAAGTAAAGTTCAGCAGTAGATTATGTATCTGAAATATTTGTCAGGGTCAATGGCTGTAGTTTCATTAATGTCATCCATTGGTCTTGATTACCCTAAAGAGTTTTTGCATTGATCCATCATATTCAGGCAGCTCTTTAGAGTAAGATGGAACACAGAAGCATCCAATTCTCCCTGACTTTTGAAAAAAGCAAAGAAGGCAAACAGATTGACAAACTCCATTCTGCTGTGTGTTGTAAAATATAAAGCCTAAATTGTTTCAGACTTCATAAACTGATATGCCACTGAAAACAAAGCCCATCCATCCATCCATCCATCCATCCATCCATCCATCCATCCATCCATCCATCCATCCATCCATCCATCCATCCATCCATCCATCCATCCATCCATCCATCCATCCATCCATCCATCCATCCATCCATCCATCCATCCATCACCCATCCATCCATTTTCTGTTCACCCTCATCCCTAGTGGGGTCGGGAGGTGCTGGTGCCTATCTCCAGTTACGTTCCGGGTGAGAGGCGGGGTCACCCTGGACAAGTCACCAGCCTGTCGCAAGGGCACAAATCAGACTGCAATAAAAGTAAAACTTGACTTCTTTGCCCAGGAAACTCAAAATGTCTGTTGTAAAGTACAATTCTTGAACTCCATAGCTGAAAGGTTTACAGCTGTTTAAAAAAAATAAAATGCTGTTTTTGCAACTGCATGGCTAGAACACCAACATCCGGCAAAAGCGTGGAAGAAGGTGCTTGGATCAGATGAAATCAAATATGAACCAAAAAATAAATCCATGTGTGGCAGAAAACTAGTCCTGCACATCATTCTGGACTTGACAGGAACACAAAGTCGCTCATATGTAGTGGCAGCACTATGCTGTGCGAATGCCTTTCTTCAGGAGGTACAGGGAAGCTGATCAGAGTTGAAGAAGCTAAATACAGGAGAATACTGGAAGAAAGAATGTCTGCTAAAAAAAAAATTCAGACAACATCAGAAATTTACCTTCCAACAGGGAAATAATCATAAACACACAACCAGAGCAACATGAACTGATTTTGAGCATGGTAGAATATCCCAGTCTGGAAAGTCTGGGAGCTTAAAATTTGTGGCAAGACATACAAATAGATTTTCACTGAGACTCTCGATCCAAATTGGCTGAGTGTAAGCGATTTGGCGAAGAAAAACGGACCAAAAAAATCAGCTTCTAAATGTGCAAAATTAGTAGAAATATACACAAAAGAACATTGTGGCAAAAAATTATTCTTGCCAAACTCTTCAGTCTTATTTGTAAAAAATTATTAAAAAATAAATAAAAAAAATTCCCCTCTGAGAACCAAATGTTCTTTTCCCTTCACTTCACTTGAGATTTATGTGCAACAACTCACTGAAGTCAGGCGCCTTTAAATGCCTGTAAACCTGAGAACTAAATTTCCCAAAGCATAAACTCTGGCCGATTCACAGCTGCAATGAAGCCTAAAACCAAAACTTTCACCGCACAACATTCTGAGCTTATGGCACTTTTTTTTTTTACACTAACCCAGGGGTTTTCAAAGTATGAAAGGGTGAGCCCCCCTCCAAGGAGCACAATCCTGCACATAAACAAATGCCACTACAAAACACCTTCTAATTGTTTTTATTTTAGAACCATCTCATCTTTTAAAATGACACTTTATCTGAATGAAATTTAACACATGAATATTTTAAAACATTTCCTCTCATTTTAATTATTTTATCAGGGCCTTTGTATGGCAAATACACCCTTTAGTCATTTTTCTAATGATAAGAAACTCATTTTTCAACCGTTTTCTCAAACAAACGTCACATCTGAGATTCTGAATTTAATGTTTGAGATACCAACAGTGTTTTCACGTCTGAACAAAAACATTTTGATCAGATCTTTGGAACACATCTGTAAATGTTGCACATTTCCTTAAAATTAAAAAAATAAATCAAAAACCTAAACAGTTGCAAAATTGTGGAGCTCTTTTTGTGGCTCATCTAAATAATTTATCTCAAGCTAAAAGAGCGTGCTGTATGAAAGAGCGGAGGCATACAAAGGAAAAAACATTTATGCACGCTGTGCACACCCTTTCTTTTTTTATCACGGTCCTGAATCATGTGTAACTCATTTTATTTATGATTTTAACTAAATTGGCAACATGGCAACACATTGGTAACACTACTGTTCAGCTCACCTTAGTTTTAGTGGGAATAATGTGCTTGTGCTTTTGATGCGCAAGTCCGGTTAATGCGGGGTTGCACTGTGGAGAGGTATAACCGCAGATCATCTTCAACCAGCAGCCTTGACCGAGATTTGCTTTTTATCATTGCGAGTGCGGAAAACCCACATTCACAGAGATAGGTTAAAGTGAAGGGGATGAGCACTGCTTCTAAATGTGCAAAATTAGTTTACTAAAAATTTGTCCATTTTTTTTTTCTCTCACATCAGATCATCAGATAGCTTCTTCTCCGGTTTATTTTTTCCCTCGCACCGCGCCTCCCCTAAAGTGCTCTAGCGCCCCCTAGGAGAGGCACGCCTCACACTTTGAAAACCGCCGCACTAACCAAACTATAAAAGTTAACTGTACTTCAGGGAGGGAAAATACTTGGTGGGAGTGGAAGGAGTGATGTGTGGGTTTATATGGGAAACAGCAAAGTCGGCTTTAAGCCGTGGCCAAGAACAAGAGATGTTTGACCCAAAATCTCCAGTGTGCCGGCTCCACTCCTACAGCCCAAACAGCAAGGATTGATGGGATGAAAACATTCTCTTTGTTCCTTCATCTGCGAGCCTGTGTGTGTGTTGAATATGCACTTATTTTGGTCTCCAGTCATGAAGATTGTTTAGGATTAGTTTTGGAAATGCTTTGAGCAAATCTTCTATAGAGGCCTCTGTAGAAAGAGTGCAAGGAGATAAATAACTCCAGTGTCATCATATTTTCAGAGCATTATTTTCTCTCTGGACAGCGGACACACTGGTCCAAAGTCTGTTCATCTGTAAATTTGCACCTGTTTCAACTGATGAACAAATACATGGACACTCAGCTCACTATATATATATTATTACACCTTTAAACTACTGAGATGAAAAGATGCTCATTTGGCAGGTTGTGTTAAAAAAAGAAAACTGCTACATTACTTACGTTCCCAGCACTTCTTTGAAGTCATAATGTTCTTTGATGTCTGATGTCTTCTTCTTCCATCCGTTTCCATCCTCTCCAAGAGGCATCCTACAACGCTGACTGGATTCGCCACACTAAAGCTTAAGGTCAAAAAGAACAGATTGCATACAGTCAAGTTTTAAGCAGCCACACATAGGAGCAGATCACGATTACAAGTAAGAGGCACATGCTAAACGTAACCAATAAAGCAGCAGAAATTGAATGAGGATTTGTCAAACTGTTTTTAAATGCTTAAAGGTAAAAATTGTATTTTCTGTTTTTGAAAATGTTCCTCTGGAGCTTGTTTGCATCACTTGGATAGAAAAATTTCATTTTTGGCTTCCTTTATTGGGAGTATTTTTACCCCTCAAAAGTAGAAAACCTCACTAATTTTCCTCTTTGCAACTACAACACACACAAATCAATTGAGATATCATTTTTTAATCTGAACTCCACAGAAGACAACATGTATTCTGTTCTATTTCAATGGGAGCTCATAGAAGGATGCTTAATTCGGTATTTTTGTCAAGTGACGGTGGAGCAGAAATGAGGACAGATTTTATTTGAGAGGCAGCAGCTTCAAGACGTCATGGTGACTAATAAGGCGGATGACCAAAGCAGGAGATAGACAGTGAAGTAAAACACAGAAGAAAATGCAAAACATGTTGTTGTGTTGGTTTCTGCCTACTTTAATAACTGTAATTTTCTCATGTAGTATTGGTAATATTGTGCGCAGGCTCCTTCAAATGGCTGCATTTGGGAGTGTTAAAACTTTTGTGAACTTTTAAGTTTAAAGAGGTTATTTTCTCAATAAGTGAAGGGCTATGACAAAGATTTGTAGGTTAATCTCTTTCTATTTGATGGAAGAACAAGAATCGTTGGATACTTGATAGCAGTTAGACTATAAATATGATAAAAACTAAATGGAAAAAGGGGACGCCATATGAACATTACCATGTCACCCGTTTAGGAAAACAACTTTCAAATCTTCCAAGTCTGTGACCTGACACTTGTCTATGTTTCAAGTTGGATATCTACATCTATATCTACTCCACAGATCTCTTCATATTTTTAAATCCACAATATGCACTACCTTTGATTTCTGAATAAATGTCACCAGGTTGAGCCCCTCCTTGCACACCCTATTTACAAAATATGTTAATCTTAGTGTAAGTCTGGATTGATGGCAAAAAAAGCATTGCATTGCCACTAGCACTTTTTTTTTCTTTTTACACAAGTCTTTTTCAATTTGATATATAAAACAACTCATCTAATATCTCATGCAGATTACACAAGCGAACTGTGGTTCAATGAACAGTGAATCATTGTGTGGTTTAGTGAGACAGCAAACAAACTATCTAACAAACCAAAAACAGAAGAGAAAGATGTCCTATTCTGCCCATAATGGGCAGCTTCTTGTGTTCGTGCCCCAAAGAAGAGCTCTGTAACAGCACGGTGTAGTACAGTTGGTTTAGTCTGATTTTAAAAAGTGCAGTGTGAAATTGTACCAAACCAAATAAAGGTGTAACATGTTTTGGCATATGACAACTAGTTGCAATTAGTTCCCTGGACTATTCTAGTGTGAAAATGTCCAAAAAGATTTAGAATTATTATTTTTTTGGGTGGGGTGGGGGTTCTAGCAGCCTTTATTTGATAGAGTTGACAGGAAAGTGGTTTGTGAGAGCAAGAGAAGACTTGCAGCAAAGGTCAAACGGCCAAGACTTGTACTTGTGATGACCACGTAGAGGACTGAAGCATCAATACATGGGTCATATGCTTTACCCCTCTACCACCGCCATGGCCAAAATGTTCCAAGAGTTTTATAAACTTCAACCTGCATACTAACGACTCTGGTCAGAGAACAAAAGCGTCTGACCGATGGTATCGATTTTGAACTCCGGGTAACAAATACAGTCCAATTTTCTTGCAAAAAAGAATAGAAGTTACAAATCTATGGGGTAAGGATTAGGGGGTAGAGTTAGGGTTAACACAGATCCCAACTTGTGTTGTTAGTGTAGTTCTTCAGGAGTGTCTTACAGATATGTTTTCTTGTGGTGCCTACACTGTGCACCACACAGAAAGATTATTTCTTTAAGGAGAGGACATAGCAATAAAGCAACAGGAAATATGATACAAATGACATACATTTTGAAAGACGTGCTGCTTTTTGACAGAATGCTGCACAAGGTGGTGAGCCATGTGGGAAACAGGTATAGGTTCACTTAAACATCAGATTTCCATTGTCGACTATAGCAATAAGCTGTTTGGCTGCTGTTCCATGGGATAAATTTTTACTCCTTATATTGTAATGTCATTCAGTTTTAGGAAGACATTAAAAGTCTTTTTTAATACTTTTTCTGAAAGAGAAACATATGAATATGTGTCCTTAATTTTTTTTTTCTCTTTGCAGTTGATATGAGAAACATATGAATATGTGTCTTTATATCAACTGCAAAGAGAAAAAAATTAAAAGAATTAAGTAAATGTATCCCTAAAATGATATATTCTTAGGAATCTTAAACTTGCAAAACTGAATCCTTTTTATACCAAACAAATCAAGCAGCTAGAAAGAGTCTTTAGGATACCCAAATTATTTATCGTTTAGATTTATTATCATTAATAAATGCTTTCTTTGCAGAATTTTGGATGAAACGCCACATATTAGGCCTGTGATCCTTTCTTTGTTTATTGTTGGGTATTCATTATTTTCCTAAATTAGAGGAAAAAGCTGAAGGTTAACATTTTGGGATAATAACGACACACCAGTAAAAAAAATGCGCTCAGTTCTCAATTAGTAACGCCTCAAAGTGGCACAACTGCAGATCTTTTTGCTGACATTCCGCTTTCATCAATAAATAGCAACTAATAATAGCGTTTTCAGCATGGCCAATAGTGGAGCAGGCTGCACGAAAGGGACCGTATACCGTCGCAAAAACAAACGCATGGTCAGTAGAGGCGGACACAAGCTGGAGGAACTGTGCTATATTTAACATCTAAAGCTTCAATCAGCCTGAGGGGGGGAAAAGAATCAAAATATGAGGAAAAATTATACAAAGGTATGCATTCTAGGAGCTCTTGTCAGATGGAAACTGAATTCCTCTGAGTAACATTTACCAACCTGTTCTGCATTGAGCCTGCAGGGCGTGAATGACATGTAAGTGAGGGAGTTTGTATGCAATGAAACCGTTCGCAGGTGCCATACCCAAGTCTATCTAATTTTTAGGATGATAATTATGAAACAAACCCCTTTTAAATAGAAAGAATAGGCGGTGTGGGTGTGCATGCTGCATACTGCAGCGTTCAAGGGTATGGCAGTCAAATGTAAGCAGCATCTTTAGGTTAAATCAGGAGGCTGCGGACATGGAAGCGCACCAAATGCGCTTTGTTTTACGCAAAAAGGAAAGCACATTAAAAACCGGATAGTGCATTTGGATAAATCTGCAGCTGGAGAAGGACGTACCTAAATGGCGATATGTAGCTGTGCGGTGTCCTGCTTTCCTCTGGGAGAGATGTGGTTGCTGAGCTTGTGCGCAGCGCTGGATGCGCTCAGACTTCTTTTGACGTCAAGAAATCCAGACGTCTACGGACGTAGTGTACCATAAAATCACTAACTGTTCTCTCAACAACGCGGATCTGCAAAATTTAGTTTCTGGTCGTCGAGCCACCTTCTCTTAATATGGGAGGTGCTTTCTTTTCTTCTTCTTTTTTTTTTTTTCTCTTAGACATCTGCTTGTGCAGAGTGTGTAGGTTCTGCACAGTTTTTAGGGGGGATTTCAAAACAGGCACAGCGTGTCACTGTGAATAATGCATCAAACAGCACCAGCAAAAGCACCAGCAGCCACTGAGCAGAGAAAATCTTTTTGTTTTGTTTTTTTAAGGAAGAACATATTCCAGAATAAATGTATTTCTCTTGATTAAAGAGAATGTAAACCCCAATATTAAGGTAACGCCTTTTTTTTTTTTACACTGATTCAGACACTCCCACTCGTTTCTCTAAGTTAGAAGAGCCTGGGCACACTGTCAAAGACAACTTTGTATAAAGGGTGTGGACAGGCAAAACATCTGTTGGAAGATGTCAGTAAATGAATGAGGAAAGTGATACATTATTGTTTAAGAAAGAAGTTGGTTGACAGCATGGTTAAGTGGAATATGTGGAGAACTATAATAAATCAGAAATAAACAAAATTAATAATAATAAAAAAACTTTATTAATTGACAAACCTCTGCTATATCTGCACCGTTTACCGTTATGTTGCTCGAAAAGAATTTAAATATTTTTGTTGTTTTTGGTCTTTTGGAAAGTAAATGTCCTGGACTAACAAACAAACACAGGAATGTTAATGGCAAAATATTGTCAAAAAATTACAAACATATTTAGTAGTTTATACCAGTTCAATTAATGGCTTCTGTGGTAAAGATGTCTAAAAACACGTATTGCAGCAAAAAAAATGTTAATGTGAGGGGATATTTATTTAAGAACCATTAGCAGTTTGGAAGCACCGTTGCCTTAGGAGATCTGACTGAATCTTTGGCTGAGGCTTCTCTGTGTTTCTACATTGAGTTTATCTTTACTCACTATGCATGCGGAAGGATGAGTTTTCTTGACAGCTGGTTGGTTGGTCTACCTGTAGATTTTAATGGTGTTATTTGGTTAGTGAACTACTTTTCGTTTTGCAGTAAAACATTCAGTCTTCCGCATTTGCTCTCGTATTCTTTTAGATGCAGTACCCCCTCTACACTCAAGGGGTCAGCACCTCCCACTGACAAACAAAACACATTTTCAACTTCCGGACAGGAGTTTTCAAAGAACGCTAGCTAGCAACATAGCTAGTTTTGACTGTTTTTATTTTTTGCTCAGGGAATTAAAGTGAAATTTTCCGAACATCGGTAAGATATGTATCAAAAACGTAATATTTATTTAATGTTGGAGCTCTTAATCTTTCGTACTTTCGTTTAAGTAACGTTCCTTTTCATAAAAGCAGCAAAAATAACTAGAATCGGATGCTAGTAGCCGCTCGTAGGTTTGCTTTGTTTCATTCTAGCCGTAACAACCCGTTGAGCGGTAGTTCCTGCTTTAACTTTGATCTTGGTGGGGGCGTTAACAACCGATGGTCTCTTGAATTAATCTGGTAACAGATTCTTTCTATTTTTATATGTTTGTTTTTCTGGATCTTGTTTTCAGCTAGCGGACTAGTCCGTTGTTAAAGCAGTCTGCGATGTCAGCGAACTCCAAGAGGAGAAGAGCCACCTCTCCCTGCAGCAGTGTCAGCGGAGGAGGAGATCCTGAAGATGCATCTTCGACCGCTGGAAGCGGCAGGAAGAAAAGGAAGATATCCAATGTTCCCCCTGTTGACACGGTGAGTGCGCCTTTTTAATGCACGGTTACACTTAAGGTTTATCGTAAACCCCGATCTCAACGGCTGAGTGTGTTTTCCTCTTGCCCCTTTTGTCCTCCAGATCGCTGTGTGCCATGAGTTGTTTAATGCTGTTAAAGACTACAAGGATGATCAAGGGAGGCAACTTTGTGAAGTTTTTCTTAGGGCACCAAAGAGGAGGTAATATTTAGAAGACCAGCGCCTACTACTATAAACCTACACTCAAAATTTATTGGTTCAAAATGAGCAGTTTATTAAAATTTGCCTTGGTGACTTATGTAGCAGCCTGTAAAATATAGCTAATGTTTCACTTTAACTGCGTTCTACTTCACAAAATAAAAGATAAAAGATTAGTTGGTATGTTCATATTTTTTTTAAGGTAAGACGATTCAAAGTGCTTTACTTGATGAAAACAAAACAACAACAAAAACCAAGGAACATTGCAAAGGCTACATAAATGAATGTTGGAATATGGACTGAAATTAATAAAGTTCCGGTTATTAATCAAAAGCAGCTCTAAACAAATTTATTTTTAGCCTTGATTTTAAGAAACTCTGTCTTTTTGGAATTTCTGGAAATTTCTCACTTAATAGCACAATTTAAAATAATATTATAAATAAAAAGGCACATGATTAATGACATGGAAATAGCTTGAGAATTGGGAATATTTTTAACTTTATTTAAACCATAGTGATCATAGTGTCATAAACTAGGTTTTCCCAGTTTTGATTTTACTCTGGGACTGCATCAATTTGGAATTGACTCAGGTCCTTTTATCCCATTATAATGCATCAAAAGGCTTGAAATATGAGATCATCTAACATTGTGTTTCCAATATACTTATGACTAAACATGTGACAACACATAATGAGAAACTATGAGGAACATTTTAAAGTACCATTCACTCAGTTATGGTAATAGTGTGTGTTGCAAGGTTAATACACAAATAGACAATGTAATGTACAAATGGTTAGACTTCATTTTCTTTTTCTTCTTTTTCAGGAATCAACCTGATTACTATGAAGTTGTCTCCCAGCCAATTGATATGACAAAAATCCAATACAAACTGAAGTCAGAAGAATACAATGATGTGGAGCAGCTTACTGCGGATTTTCAGCTCATGTTTAATAATGCTAGAAATTTCTACAAGGTATATTTAATTTGTGATTCTCATCAACAGTACATTTGAACCACTAACCTTCGCTGATAATAGGCAATAAGCAGCATTTGCTGCTAATATGAGCATTAATTTAGTTTTATCTTATTTTGTTTAACCTTTAAAAATAGTAAAATTTAGCCTGTAAACTTCTTTTCTTGGTAAAAGCCCAGCTATACTGCTACATCGGAACAGAGATTGGCAATTTCAAATTCGATTACAATATATTCTTAATCCTAAAGAAGCCATTTTAGAATAGAATGGCATTTGGGGGAGGGATTGACTATGGGTATTAATGTAATCAAGGCTTTATGTGGGGATAGATACAGGGACATTGGAGATTTATAATTACCTCTGCTCTGTACCAAATAGTCAATATGATTTAAATATCTGGTGTGGCACAGAAAAGAATAAAATAGAATACAAAATGCTGTTTAGAAAGAAACCAGCAGATAGATAATCATTTATAGTAATTTTAGATAAATAAATAGTCAATGTAGATAGAAAACATGACATACGGTAAAGCATCAGTCTATTTTGTTATGGATTTAGTAGAGCTTCACTGCCTTCTAAAGGGATGGAGTTTAAACAGATACCATCTAGGATGGAAGGGGTCAGAGGACATTTTCATTGCCAGGCTAAGGAAAGTGGCAACATAGTGCAAGAATGGCAGCAGACTGTTGTCTGAATAATACTGAATACTGGGCATTTTTATTCGCTCTCTGTGATGTCTTCCTGTCAGTAGCTGAGCAGCTTCCCTCACTACATTACCATGTGTGGGATAATGCCAGCAAACACAGCCTGTGCAAAAGAATTTTGACAGTTTTGATCTCTAATTTTTAAGTGTGACTAGTGTGGCTGCACATCTGATGTCCCACCTTATGCTTGTGTCTAATCAGAGTGACAGTGAGGAGTATCAAACAGCGAGCAAGCTGTGGGAAGTGTATTTGCAAACAAGGAATGAATTTGTGCAGCCTGGAGATGGAGATGAAGATGATGAAGAAGGTGATGACATGATGGCTAATCCAGGAATGTCAAATGAATATGAGGTAGGTGTTTGTATTCAGATTTGTTGAATTACTAATGTTTATTTGATTGTAACACAGTGACTACTACAATCATTTGATAGACATACAGTATTACTTATATTTTTGAACCTCTAACTCGCTTATTTATATTTTAGACATCAGGTAGCAGTCTGAAAGAAGTCCTAGAGCAACTCTTGGAGGCCATAGTATCACACACCGACCCCTCAGGCCACCTCGTCAGTGAACTATTCCAAAAACTGCCTTCCAAAGTGGTTAGTATTCAGGCTTGTAATAATACCAGTTAATTTCTCATACTTACTTTTAGGGTAATAGAAGCACAATAAACATGAGTTGACACATTAAGCGTTTTGTATTTTTCTAATCTCTTTGTCTAGACTTGACTCCAAATTAAAGCCCCAAAGTATTACTTCATTTATTTCTTTGAATACTAACAATTTTACACCTTGTCTGTCCTTCATAGCAATACCCAGACTACTATGCTATTATAAAAGAGCCAATCGATCTCAGAACGATTGCTCAGAGAATACAGGTAACCTACTTACTCCTTTTCCGTTATGCTTTGCAAATAAACTTGTTTCAAAATTTGACATCTTCGTAATGGTACTTGACTGTTTTACTCTATGTTAACAGATTGGATACTATAAAAGTGTTCATGCTATGGCCAAGGACATTGATTTGATGACCAAAAATGCCAAAACATACAATGAACCAGGATCTCAGGTTTTCAAGGTGAAATCTTTTCTTTTTTTTGTTTTTGATATTTTTGTTGTTCCTAAAATAATCCAGTCATGTTTTTCTATTTTACAGGACGCAAACACCATAAAAAAAGTCTTCATCCAACGCAAGACTGAACTCGAACATGCTGAGCCTACTAAATCTAGCATTCGTATCAGGTACTCAGATGGTTGCACTTCTTAAAACCACCGAATTATTCAGACAAATATGTTTTTAAATTTATGGCTCTCCTGCAGAAACCGCAAATCAGGACAAGCGGATCGCTTTTCTGGTGTCAGCGTTGCTCTTCATTATGGTTCAGAGAGTGAGGATGACCCTGTACTTTCTGGTAAAATTCAGCAATTAAATTTGGATTTGGAAAAAAATAATAGCTACGTTCAAAAACAACTGTCCAAACTTTAAATTCTTACAGGCTCTGTTTGCTATGATGAGGGCGAGTCAGAGGCGGAGAGCCAGAGTTCAAGCATGGAGATGAGCAATCCAA